CGGGCATTTCTTTTTTTCTTTTTTTTTTTGTGGGAGGGGGGGGTAGGGGGGTATAATTACGGTTGATGGATATATCGCAACCTGACACACGGGAAAATATGGTTAGGGAAATATGTATAGCCGAAATAAAGCAACGTCAAAGGAAAATGTTGATGAATGGAAATGATACAGGAAATGGGTGGTGCCTTGTGCAAATAGATCTGATGTGCGTGAAATCCTAGATGACTCTTTGCCCCTTTGATTAGGAGTCGTTTTGTTTTGAATGGAAAAAAAGAGAAGACACTTTTGTTGGACTCCTTTTTTATAGAGTGGGGACGTCTATGCCGAAAAGCTAAACAAGTGGTGGCAGGCAAAGAGCGAAAAGGCCAAAGTGCTTCGAAGTTGAATAAACGCAGGTTGAAAAGCCCTAATAAATTCTACCATAAATATGAGGAAGTTTTCCTAAAAAGGCTCTCTTTTAAAAAAGAGATTTTCTTTGGGTTCACAAAAAAAATAAGGAAAATTTCTAGAATATTAAAAGTCAAAATAATTCAAGCATTGCAATATGAAATAACATGTGAAAAACACATCTAGAAAGAGGAATACCTTAACCTAGAAATTTTAATAGTGGTGGTTTATTTTAGGTGAGAATTAATAGTTCTTTTTCCTTCACTGTGTTCAAATTGCTCTGAAAATGATATTAATCTATCTGAAAGGAATAAGGCATCTATGGAAGATTAAAAATAAACCGTAGAATTGTTTTTAAAAAAATAACAGTATCCGCACAAATAATAATAGTAATAATAATAAACAATTTATGGCAGGCGATCTCGATTGCTCCCAGTATCGCTATGATTTATCTACCTATGTCATTCTCGCAACTCTTCTTATTTACCCTTTCTATTGACTACTTTGTCCTTTTTAGTCGTTCTTCCCCGCGAGCTTTTAGTCAAACTTTTACGCTTTTTGGCGCTCTCGCTTTTAAGTTTCTCATTTGAGAGCGTTTTGCTTGGGATGCTTTTCGCTTTTTCAGCAGAACTCCCCTTATTATTGGAGCCGGCAGCTGAATCGCCCAGGGCGGTGCCAGTCGGAGCCTCACCACCCAATCCCGCCATCGGAGCTCGGCTAGCGACTGCCGTAGGCGATATGGGTTGATTTGTTGTCGAATCCAACCCACCGTTTGCCCTGAGCTCCGAAGTGGAAACAACAGAAGCAGCCTTGGGCTTCTCAACTGTAGCCCTGTCTGCCATCCTATGACGCTGCATATCAGTACTATCAATTTGGGATTCCTTTTCGGTGCGGTTAGATGGTTTGTCATCCTTCACCGGAAGGGAGGGGGAAAACTTACTAATGTCTTCAAGAACCTTACTCTGAGGATTTGGGGCATTTCCCGTTGCATTCTTCGTATTAACGGACTTGTCATCTACTACCACATTGGGATCTGCATCGATTTTACCTGAAGTCTGATCAATCTCCTCTAGATCGAACTCGTCAATCGCCTTTAAGGGAATCGGCAACTCGGACTTTTCAACTTCATCCCCCGTCGCTTTGGCCGCCGGTCGGGCGTCGTTGCTTATCTTCGGAGGATTCGCATTACCCCCTTTTTCACCTTTAAGGTCCTTGCAGTCAGCGTCTACGTCAAACTCAAGGTCCTCCCCTTCTTCCTGCCATTCAAGGTTGTTAGCATCGACGTCTTCCTTGAGATCATCGATAAATACGTCCTTCGTTATGGTGGCCCCGCGCGGCCCCACGTCACCCGGGGTTGGGGGGCTGTCGGCGGGGGAAGGCCCCTTCGTCGCCTCCTCTTTGCGGGCATCCAGGACGGGAGGGGCCGCCTTCACCGGCTCATCCGTGCTCGGAAGAGTCATTTCGGGGAAATCAAAAAACGAATCCAGCGCGGGCGGGCGCTCCCTCGGGCGTTCCCACCGCGTTTTTTGAGATTGTTGGCTGTAATAGCGGGTGGTCTGTGGCTTCCCCCCCGCCCTTGTTTCGTAATGGCTGTGTTCGATGCGAAAGCAGTCCGACAGCACCCCTTCCAGGTGGCTCGCCAACAACACCAACTGCTCCCCTTCTAGGCGCATCTCAATCGCGTGGGTGTCGCCGTCGTTGTAGGTAGACACCGCGTTCGGGCCCTTCCCCTCCGCTGCGGGGAGCTTCGACGTGAAGGTCCCCTGCAGGTTAAAGGACGACTGCCCGGGGGTGAGGCTGAGGGTGGCGTGGGCCCGATCGATCCGGACCGGGTCCCTCGACCACCCCTGCAGGACCGCCAGGAGCCTCGCGATGGAGATCGGGCGTAGGAAAAGCCGCCCGAAGATCGGCCACTGGCTCTTTTCCTTCGTTGAGGGAGTGTGGAGGCTGAGAATTAGCCTCTGCGGGTAATCGCTGCGCCACCGCCAGAGCACCGTCGCCTTGGCGTCCTCGGCGGCCCGGCGGAGGACGACGGGGGTCTTCAAAGACCGGGTGAAAAGGCCCCCGAGCGGGCCGGTGCCAGAAGGCCGGGGAAAGGGCGGCCGGGCCGGGCTCTGGAGAAAAGAACGGCAACGCCACATGGACGTAGCACCGCGCCTTGTGAGAGAAGAGTGGGGAGGTCCCTAGTGTGTGGAGATCGCTTCGAGGCACACGTGTCCTTTTGAGGTGGAATCGTTACAAAGAGAGATCTATAGAGGGAAAATAAATCAAAAAAAATAAAAAAAGGGGGAAAAGGGGGAAAAGGGGGAGAAAAAAAAAGAATTAAGACCTCGAAGCCTTCGTAGAAACTGGCCACGGACAAAAATAGAGTAAGCCTCTCGGTGAAAGGTTCGTCAGCCTCCTTCCCCATAAATCAAAGCGGATATAGGGATAGGATCACCTAAAAGGGGTACGAAAAAAAAGATAAGGCACTGCCATAAGGCTTATTAATTATTAGGATGCATTAATGATGATCATCCGTTGACTTTCTTCGGAAGGGATGGGAAATTGCTAAAAAGAAAACCCCAGTTTAGCGCATTCCCCTTACCTCTCATTTGCATGCACATACACTCGTTTCGATTCAAAGCAGGTCTTTATGGATTTAAAATCACTGCACGACATTCCACCCATCAGAACTCTTTTTATAGAGATTTTTCCTATGTTTTTTAGATTTCTTATTGCCCGTAGTATTTTGCAGTACGGCTGGTGTCTCCTCCTCATTTTTGCTTGGATTCTCAGGAATTGTTTGGTTGCCCTGCTGAGCGTCGTCGTCATCGAAAACGGATCCTAAATCACTTTCATCTGAGGTGCAGACTCCCGCGTTCACACACTGACCCACGGGATCGAGCTGCCGATAGGTCGCCTCAAACTGAACAAACTTCTCGACGATGGAAAAGTCATTTTGGCAGCAGCGGCAGTACATCTCGTGAAGCACATCCGAAACCTCTTTGAGGCTGTCATCCTCTATCAAAACCTCGTGCGCGGTGGAGAAGAACTCCTCGAAAAAGTCCTCCATCTCGTCCGAGTAGACCTCGCCGTTCTCAAGATGCCAGCTAATCAAATCCTCCTGAAGACTCGAGAGAGCGTTCCGATTGCAATGTTGGACGACGAGATGCAGGGCCGTCCATTGGTTAAGAACGGCCGTCAGTCCGACGGTGAAGCGCTGAAATTGAACTTCATTGGCCCGGTAGGGCGGCTGGACCAGCGATGCGCCAAAAGATTCTGGCGCGTTGAGGTTGTGCATCGATTCGGACGTGTGGAGGGGGATAATAAAAGAGAAAAAATATCAAAAAAGTACAAGCAAGAACCGATGAACGGAAGGAAGGATTCAACTTTTTCCTCTCACACGCTCACCTGAATCGCGTGGCAGAAGAAATAGACAGATTAGAGAAATAAGTATATTGGGCGCAAATTCATTTAAGCGAGTCAATGATTGAAGCCACGCAGCTGGAACGCAACATGGCCAAAAAGCATAACGGTCTTTTACATGCCTAATTATAAGCTTTATTCTTTTTGAGTGCATATCGTAAAATAAATGCAAAAAAATTTACATACCTCGGAAAAATATCAGTTCTTTTGAACAGCGCAACCATTTCGATAAAGACAACAATCGATCCTTCAGTGTGGATGTTATCTTTTCAAAAAAGATTCATGAGGAAAATATAATCAATATTATGTATGTGTCTACATATTTGTGGTCAGCTGTCAGATAACAGTCTTTTTCACCCCGTCTGTTAACCTGATACTGCATGCCTTCATTCGGAAAGTGTAAGATTAGCAAAATATCTTTTTGCACATATAAAAATCACAATGCAAATTTCTCAATAGTTATCTATATTTGAGACCTTTCTGCAACTATGCAAACACACATAGATACTGAAAGAACTTACCACAAAAAATTGTCTAAAAAGCATTGAGCTGGAAATTAATTAGGTAAGATTTGGAAAAGAAAAACCTCGACATGACAAAAAAAATCTTAAAGAAAGGTAACAAACTGACCACACTTACTAAAAATAATAATTGTAAATTCTAAACTCCTGGAAGTTCAATATCGCCGTCTGAATCGTCTCCAAATTTTTGCTTCTCCACTTTTTTATTCGTATCCTTTTCCTTGCTTAAGGATCCATTTGTGGTCTCTGATATTGAAGTCGCGCCCCCCCACGCACGCCGCCCGGCGGTGGCGCCATCACTGTCCGTCTCTTTTTCTCGGTTTCCACGCCATGACGTCGAGTCACCCCCATCTTGCGTCGCCCCCCTCTCATTGCCGTCGTCCTCCTCGTCCTTCAGATCCCTGCTCTCAAGTTCCTTCATTTTCTTGAACCACTCATTGGCCTCGTCGACAAGGCCGCCATCTTTGCAAAGCTGCATGAGGTACTTCAGACACTCCACGTTCTCCGGGTACTTGCGGTGAATCACCTCGTAAAGACGTTTGGCCTGGGCGGCATCGCCGCGCCTGCGATGGCAAGAGGCCACCATCAAATGCCACTTCACCTCCAGCGGTTGAATCTCCGACGCGCGCTGGAAGAACTGGGTGGCCTTGTCGTAGACCTCGTTCTTCACGAAATAGGCGCCAAGCCAGAGGATGACATCGATGTTCACTTGGTAATACCGATACGCTTCCAAGTAGAAGTGGAAGGCCTGCGTTTCGTCGCCCTCGCGCGCGTAGAGGGAGCCGATCCGAGCGAGGGCGTTGGGATCCGTCGGAACCCGCCCAATCAGCCGCGCGAACCATTCCAGCGCGTCCGGGTAGCCAATGAGATCAGTAACATCGGCGATCTGATAGAGCACCTCGCTGCTGTCAACCAGCATCTGCACCCGCTTAAACATTTTGATGGCCTCATCATACAGACCTAGACGCTTCGCCGTGAGACCCAAATTATAGATGGCCTCCATATTATCCGATTCCACAGAAAGTGCCTTGTCATAGTATTCCTTTGCTTTTTCGTAATCTTCCCTCAAGAAGAAGAAGTTGCCTTTATTAACCAAGGCCTTGCCATTGTATTGATTGGACTCTAGGCTCATGTCGCTATACTTTTCCCCGTTTTCGTAGTCACCCTCTAAGAAGTACAAATACGCCAAGTTTGTTGCAGCCCGCGCGCGCAGTTCCTTGTCTTTCTTCTCAAATGCCCTAAGCCCGCTAATGGCGTCCTGATAACGCTTGTGTTTTAAGTAGTTCAGACACTTGCACATCTCCAACTCGCTCGACATATGCGAGGATGAGTCATACATTTCGTACTGGCGCAGCTGCTCAATAAGATAGTCGTATCCGACGCGCCAGTCCTCATCCAGGACCGGCGCAATCAACCGCGCCGCGGTAATTACTTTTTTCTGATATCTAAAGCGACGCCCTTTCATCTCCTTGCGCAGCGCGTCATCGACAAGCACGTCGTCATTCCCCTCTTTTTCGTCAAAATCTTCCTCCTCCTCCTCTCGAAATGGGCTGTTGTTGAGAATCTTCGAGAAGGTGCGCTTCATCTTTTCGGTCTCCCCAAGTGCGTAGTAGCTGATGATGAGGTTGAAGCCCGCATCCACGTCGCCGTTGCCCTCAAAAATGCTCTCATAGCTATTTGCAGCATCACGGTACTGCCCCATCTTCACAAAGCAATTGGCAATGTTGCGAAACAGTTTATACCGCAGCTCCTTTGAGGAAGTCTGCGTATCATCAAGCGTCAGACGATACATCTTTATGGCCATTAAGTACTTTCTCTGGGTAGCGTAGATGTTTCCCATGTTCACACGTAGACATCTAGCCTGTGCGAATTGTGGCTTTATGATCATTATGTTGTACGTACTGAGGGCATCCTGATAGAGTCCGTGGTTTTGGTATTGCACCGCCAAATTAAAATTTACCCCATACGTTAGGTCCATGTTGATCTGCTCCGCCAAGCCAAGTTGTTCCCTCTGTGCGCGAAGCTGTTTCTCCTTCTTTGCGGACGCCTTGGCCTTTTCAAGGGCCGCTCCGTAGTCCTTCTGGAGGGCCAGCATCGCGCTCTCCTCGATGAGCTTGTTCACTTGTTTTTCCAACTCCATGCAGAGCTCCTCAGGGCTGTTCTCACTGCGCTTTTTGAGCGGCGGCGCGGGCCCGAGAGCGAGGTTCATGGTTCTGCCCTGCCCCGTCGGATCGAAGGTGGTGCCGGTCGCACCGAAGCCGACGGCGCGGTTGGAGGTCATCGGGCGGACCCCGCTCGCGACGCCGCCTCCCATCGTCCCTAGCCGACTGCTTGGGAGGCCCCAGGCAGTGCCCATCCCGCTGACTCCCCACTGCGAGGGCGGTCCCGCCATCAGTGCGTTGCCGCCAGTAGGCGAAGAGGAGCTGAGGAGGGGATTGACCGAGTCCGTGGCCCACACATCCCTCCCAGTATCCGGCGGGTCGAAGGCCGCGTAGACATCCTCATCCAAGAACTCGGACATTAGACCAACCCGTGTAGTTTCCACAGAAACCTTACCTTACCCTTACGGTAGCCTTACTTTACTGTACCCCGGCGTGTTGTGGCAAAGTGGGTCGTGTAGGCCGCGATACAGAGTTCTGACTTTACCTTTTTTTTCGGTGTATGTGGGCCTGAGTGTGTTATGGCGTGTGTGTGGGGATGCAAACTGGTGTAACAACACGATATAGACAAGGGAAAAATAACCCCCACTCGGTGTGTGTATGAACTGTATGTTTCACTTGTTTTCCTTCATCATTTAGATGTGACCATAAAATCACCAAAACAACAGTGGTAAAATGTAGAAAAGAAGTGATCAAAATAAAAAAGAAACAATGTGAATAATTGCGAATGATATGCCACGCTACAGTTGTATATATATATATATATATATATATATATATA